CCATGCAGTGATCTCCATATTGTTCCTAGTTGCTACCATATCTAGTTTCCCCTGTATCATGCCTCTCACATTCCATGTTCCCATAATATATGTTGGGCAACTTCAGATTTTTATCTTGTTCCTGAGGACTACAACCCCTGTAATTCGTTGGGTGCATCTTGTACTTATCTCTTGTTTCATTTTGGATTGTCTCATTATAGGTTGTTCTTGATAGATCTTCAAAAGAGGGTTCACCATGCCTTCCTTTGTGCTGTACTCACTATCCATAGACCATATTTTTCTGACATGCCCTCCCCAAACCTAGTGCCCTCCAGATGTATTGGACCAGGGGTAGGCAACCTTTTAAAGGTCTGGGCCGGTCCCCTGAAGTCCTCCTTTCCACTGGGCCAGGGGGGGGAATGGTGGCACGCGCTGCCACCGCTCCCGCCACTGCCGCGGCGCTCGTGGCCACCGCCACTGCGCATGTTGCGGCTGCCATTTTGATTTTCAAAATGGCAGCCGCGATGCGTTTGCGCATGTGCAGGAGTACTGCGCATGCGCAAACGAGTCACGGCTGCCATTTTGGAGAACAAAATGGTAGCCGCCACTCGCAGCCGCCATTTTGATTTCCAAAATGGCGGCCGCAGCGTGCGTGGCCGGACGGAGGAGAAAACGTGCTGCGGCAGCGGCAGCAGGGGTCTGCCTGGGCCGGTAAGTTTGGCGACCTGGGCCAAAACCAGCCCGGGGGCCGTAGGTTGCCGACCCCTGTACTGGACAATAACTGATGCCATTCCCAAGTAGCATGCCCATTATCTGCAAGATCTGCACTTGTTGCCAATATTTATTTCCAGATGACATGATGGCTGAGGCAAGGCAAAATTTGGGCCTAAGCAGACTGCCAGAAATAGTGCACATTAAATTGAGGCACTGCCCTGGCTCAGTGCTAGGGAATCATGGGAACTGTAATTTATTGTGGCACCAGAGCTCTCTGACAGAGAAGGCTCAATGTCTCAGAAAAAAATACAATTCCCATGATTCACTAGCACTGAGCCAGGGCAGTGCCTCAATTTAATGTGCGCTATTTCTGGCAATCTGCTTAGGCCTTTAGTTGTTCAACACATTGGAAAAGCACCATTTTTGAAAGGATTTTGCTTAGCTCTCTTCCATTTCTGAAGGTGTTAGCTTCAGACAGTTGGAACATTCTTCCATCCAATATGTTCAAGAAGAAAAAGAAAAGCCCAAACATCTAGACTGGTATTACACTCATCCTTCCACATTCCCTGGGGTTAGGGGCACAGGACCCCCCTAAATTTGGGAAAACTACAAATAACAAAAACACTATGCTTTTGCCTGAGATAAAAGATTTTGCCTCTAGGAATCTTTAGATCCTCCAGTGCAACTCTGTGGTCAACATCTGCCAGAGATTTGCACTGGAGGATCTACAAATACAAATGGAGTGTTCTCTCTAGGAATCTCTAGGCCCTTCAGTGAGACTTTTGGTTAAAGTTGACCATAGAGTTGCGCTGGAGGACATAGATATTCCTAGAGAGAACATAATACATCCGTGAATAATCAAAGCCGCAAATGTGGAGGATCAAGTGTATTGGAAATAAAAAAATCATACCTAGAAGAAAAAGAATGGGGAGAAGGAAGAGGCAACATCAGAGGATCAGCGTAAAGAGACCGAACAAAATATTCATTTTGGAGGGAAAAGGGCAAGTTACATAATGACACACTGTTGCACAGCTTATTCTTGTCCCTTTTATTTTGTTCTTTTTCTCAGACCAGCAATGTTGCATTTATTTTTGGGCTCCCCACCACCTTTGGCTGCCTAGCAATGACTGGCTGGAGTGTGCTTGCGGCTGCAAAATGCTACCGGCTGCCTAGCAACAGGCAGCTTACCTGGCAAGAAGCCAGAAATACAGAAAGCTTGAAAAAGGTACTTGTTTGGACGAAAAATCCGAGAAGTCCCCAGTCTCTACCATACCCTCCAATATTTCACAGATACATTGTGCTGTGACACAATACAGCATGTGGCCAAGCAACATCAAGTAAAAGTTACCGTATTAATGAGGAAGAAAAGACAAGCTAGAAGAACTTGTTACAGTTTGCTTTTGCCTCAGTGTCCAGGGAAGAGCAAGATTCCTTTTCTCCTGTTATCCTATGAGTTAATGGAGCGCACGCTACCTTTGCATTTGGAATTCAGTTGGCAGCAACCAATGACATTTTAAAAGCAGCAAAGAAAGTGGGATGGCAGAGGATTAATTGGGATTGTCTCTGCAAATCTGGACAGTTGGAGGATATGTAGTATCACCACTGGCTAGCTGGCTAAGAAATTCTAGGAGCTGTAGCTCAAAACAAGTACCTTTTCCTAGTTCTATGTAGGCAATTCTGAATATATTCTATATTAATGAATCTTACTTTGGTGTTTTAATGACGGCAGCCTGCATTGTCCTTAACTTTCTAAAGCCATGGACCCCTGCTGTTCAAGTCCTGGGTCGACCTTAATTCTAACTGGCAATATGGATCCTGTTTTTTGTTATTTCTTTTATTGTACACAGTCCATTCTTCTCACTTGTTCTCCATTTTAATTCCTAATATCACCTTCCCTTTCTGAATTTTTCAGCTGCTTTCTCCTTGCCTCTGTTGTTTTGTGACAAAATATAATAATAATAATATTTATACCCCGCCCCTCTGCCAAACAATCGGGGCGACTTACAACAGTTAAAATTACACCAGAAATATAGACTAAAAAACCCCAAAACTCCCCCTTCCCCCATTAAAAAAGTATTAAATTACACATCCTTTAAAAAAAATAATAACATAAAGTATCAGATGAGGTAAATTGGAGTGACTATAAGCAAACAAGAGCAGTGGGTGAGCCAAAAAACTGAAAGGGGTAGAGATGCACAGCTCCTGAGGCCGGGATCTAATCAGAAAAGGCCTGCCGAAAGAGATCTGTCTTCACAGCCTTTCTAAAGCTGCTTAAACTCATAATCTGATGGATCTCATCCAGCAGGCCATTCCATAATCTGGGGGCGGTTACTGAAAATGCCCTCTGGAAGGTTGCTGATAGCCTAGATTTTAATGGCTGGAGCAAATTCCTCCCAGAGGACCGGAGTGTGCGGGGAGGATTGTATGGGAGGAGGCGGTCCTGAAGATAGTTGGACCCAAGCCATTTAGGGCTTTAAAGGTAATAACCAACAATTTATACTGGGTCTGGAAACTGATAAGCAGCCAGTGGAGAGACTTTAATACTGGAGTTATGTGGTCTCTCCTAAATGTTCCTGAGACCACTCTGGCTGCCATATTTTGTACTAATTGAAGTTTCCGGACCAAGCACGAGTGTAGCCCCGTGTAGAGTGCATTACAGAAATCTAGATGGGAGGTTACCAGTGCATGCACCACAGTCTCAAGGTCCCTTACTTCCAGGAAAGGGCGCAGCTGGCGTATCAGCCAAAGTTGATAACAGGCACTCCTGACCGTTGCATTTACCTGATTAGTCATCAGGAGTGACGAATCAAGGAGCACCCCCAGACTGCGAACACAGTCCTTCATGGAAGTGTGACCCTGTCCAGGACTGGAGGTTGCAACCCAATACCTGGTTTCAGGGCCGCTACTGTGAACACCTCCGTTTTGTCTGGATTCACTCTCAATCTGTTTTTCCTCATCCAGCCCATTACTGCCTTAAGACATTCATTGAGAAGAGAGATCCCATCAGAAGTCGAGGCCAACGATCGAGACATGGAAAAATAGATCTGGGTGTCATCAGCGTACTGATAACACCCAGCTGTACTGATAGCAGCAGCTACTATATAGTCCAGGGGTTGGCAACTTCTTCTTACCTGGGGCCAGTCCGCTGGTCCCTAGGTCTTCCGCGGGCCGAGGGTGTGGGGGAGAAATGGTGCCGTGCATGTGAGCGCATGCACACTATGCCGGAAGTACTGTGCATGCACGAGCAAGTCGCAGCCGCCATTTTGGAAAACAAAATGGCGGCAGCAGCACGCGCGGTGGCAGCAGGGGTCCAAAGGCCTCGCGCGGCCGGATCTGGCCCCCGGGCTGTAGGTTGCTGACCCCTGGTATAGTCTGTTGCTGTCATGGGAAGTGTGCAGTGGCAGACTGATGCTATGAATACTTCTTCACAGTTGGGTTCAGTAAGGTTTCCTCCCACTGCATCTAACTAACTGTATCACTGCATGTGCCTATAGGTGACCTCTTTGTTTTCAGACTTTATATAAGCACCTGCAGTCATCCAAAAACATAACACAATACATATATATATTCAGGCAAGAGTATCTTGGAGTAGGAGTAGAAGCAGATATTAGAAATTTCTTCCTCTGCAGACTGTTATAGCTTAAAAAGTAAGCTTCCCAAGCTCTTGTGGAGAGTTGCTTGTGGCTGATACCTATGTTTCAAGCAATATGTTTGATATCTTCGTGAAGAAATATGTTTGATATCTTCATGAATGCTTATGATTTAGGGGTAGGCCAAGACATTTTTACTGCTTGAAGAAGAAGAACAAATGGTTCTCTGCATTTCCAGGTGGTAAGACTAAGTACACAGTACCTAAGGCCAGAGGTTAGACAGGTTACATCTGAGAGATGTCATTCATGAAATCTTTCCAAAGTATGTTCTGTTTCCTAGCAGTAAAAACAGAATAATAAAGTAAAGAATTAACCATTTGCTTCTTTTTCATGACAGTTATACTAAAAATTTGTTGGTGGAAGTGCGTGTCTCACTGCTGAATTATAGGGTCAGCCCTACTATAATTAGTACTTTTTGCTGCTTTTTCTGCTGGCCTTTAGAAGCAGTTCTTTGAACAATGATTTGATTTGCAGGAATTAGCAAAGAAGCTTATCATGACATAGAGATAAATGTTATAATCTACTACCAATTACTGCAGAGTTCTACCCACCCTTAAAGTTACAGCTGTAGGATTTGAAAATTGGTAAACTTGTCTGCAGCTCTCCCACTAGTTCAATACAGTGAGTGGCTGAATGTTGCTCCATCTACCCAATTAAATCTGAAATGGTGTAGTGGTTTGAGCATTGGACTATGACTCTGGAGAACAGGGTTCGAATCCCAGCTCAGACATAGAAACCCACTGGGTGACTTTGGGCAAGTCACAATCTCTCAACCTTAGAAGATGGCAATGGGAAACCCCCTCAGAACAAAACTTGCCAAGAAAACCCCATTATAGAGTCACTTTAGGGTCACCATAAGTGGGAAACAACTTGAAGGCATGTAACAACAACAGCAAATTCCTGGTTTCAGCACTGCAATCTTTAGAAGGAAACATTGTGATCTTCTGTACACGTTACTACCATCTTGCAATTGGCACTGACATTCTTGCTGGTGACTTCTCCAGGAAAGAAGCAGAGGATTCTGGGAATGCCTTGAAACAGAATATCCTCTCATGATCTCTTTGATGTTCTTTCCATATGAAAAATCAATCAGCATGAAGCCATAAGCAAAGCAGATGGTGAGGCATCATAATCAAGGCTTCCATCCTAAAATGCATTTGTGCCAGCTATGGAGTTCCAGCCCTGGTGATATGACAAATAAGTATTTGTAGGAGGAAAAAGATGTTTTGCTATAAGCTCTATCAATACATGTTGGGATTGGGTATGCATTTTATGAATATTATGGTATTAATTCTGCCTTTCACAATTTTGAGAGGGGAGAGGCCTGAAAACATGGCTGCAGTATATGCACAATGCCTGTCATTTAATTAGCTTTAGATTAATGTGATGTATTTCATATTAAGCTATAAGTGCCTAAACTGTATGCATCAGAATATGCTTCCAAGGAAACATGGGCTAAAAATATTTGCCTGCTTACATACACTATGGAAATTTGTTGCTGTTGTTAACTGTCCTCGAGTTGGCCTTGACTCAAAGCCATTTCAAAATCACATGGGAAAAATGAACCATGTAAATTCTTTGTGGATGCAAACTGGACTGAAAATTGTTGTACCCAGCATTTTCCTCTAGATAGTAAAATGATATCTGAAATAAGTCCAATTTGGGCTAATTTGAGAGTATTTTGTTTAGCAAGTAGTCCTGTTCATACATACCTGAAGATAAGACCACTGAATGCAATGGTGTTCTTTTTTATTTTTCTTAGTTTGCACAGATTTTAGTATGGTCTAAAAGTGCTATAAATTAAATAATGTATGACCTTTTAAAAAACTTTTATTGGCTATAGTACCTTTCATCAGATGCCTGAAATGTTATCCTCAGTTGGTAGCTTTACAGGCATATATATATAGGATACATAGAAATGGGGTAATGGTGGTAATTTCTGGGGTCAAATGACAATGAAATGGAAAAAAGTACAATACAGTCCATTACAATTTTATGTGCAGTTGCTTAACTGACATAACAGCTATCAGACATGATAGTGTGATCAGTCTAGCATTGCTAAGTTGGTTAATACCTCTAGTGGGACATGAGAAAATTATCTTGATTCAGTCCTAAATGGATTGAATCATATTTCTTGATAAGTTCAAATTCACTACTATGATTATTTCTCAAGGACCCCTTTATGCTATGCCATCTTGCATGCTGAGAATGATTGTCTTTATATTGATCATCCATTTGTATCAATATTCTGTAATGATGTGTCTCATATCCTTAATGAAACTTATTTATGCCTCAAGGCTAATGTCACAGATGGAATGAAATTTCATCTTTGGATGACATGATTTTATTTAGCATTTTGCAGTTGAAAATACACAGTTTTTGTATATTGTTCAGTGCCTTAAAGATGTTTCTGACTGGCGACTCTAAGGTGAACCTATCACAGTGTTTTCTGGGGCTGAGAGTATGTGACTCGTCCAAGGTCACTCAGTGGATTTCCAGGGCTGAGCAGGGAACTGAACCCTGATCTGCAAGTTTGTAGTCCAATGCTCAAAACTCTACACTACACTGGCTCTCGTGTTTGCACATGCACTTATGTAACTTCTGTGAATGAAAGAATGTGTTCTGGTTCTCCCTGTATGAAGTTGCGTTTCAGTAACAAGGGTGAAAGAAAATACTTTTAAAAGTAATGTAACAAGTGGGGAACAAAACTGTTTAGTGGGTATAATACATCATGTTCTCCAGTTGCTTTCTGATGAGACTTTGAAAGCATTTTAAAGATATTTTGATAGGAAAGTTTAATTATGATGCCATTTTATACTATTCTCTTATCACTCCTTGTTAGTTTTTTTGTTTTTTTTAAAAAAGATAAAATGGCTAGCAGCACTTGAAGTGAGTACTTGTAGTGTAGTAAGGGCAACGCTTTGTACCTATGCTTTGCCCCCTGAAACAGTAGTGAAAATGTATATTTTGAACTGTACCCCTTATGCAAGTGTGCAGAAAGGTCTTTTATCTCAATGGGTTTTGTTGTTAACTGCCCTCGAGTCGATCTTGACTCATGGCGGCCCTATGGATGAGACATTTCCAAGACCCTCTGTCCTCCACTGCTCTGCTAAATTCCTGCAACCCCATACCTGTGACCTCCTTTATAGAGTCCATCCCTCTGGCATATGGCCTTCCTCTTTTCCTACTTCCCTCCACTCTTTTCCAATGAGTCCTCTCTTCTCATGATGTGTCCAAATTCAGCAGTCTCAGTTTGGTCATCTAGGTTACAGGGATCTGCTTTAGGACCCATTTGTTTGTCCTTTTGGCTGTCCATGGGAT